GAAGGTGGGAGGACCTCCAAACTCTACCCTAGTTGCCTACTTTGTCTCCACTGCAATAAGAGACAATTTAACTTAGATTTGCCCTGCTCTGGGTGGTCTTGACACTGGGCAGCTTCCTTTGTCAGGCCCTTGCTATGCTGGACCTGCTAAACTATCTCCAAAGTAGATTCTAGCCCCCTTAGGGCAGAGGTCCCATTTTTGCCATTTCTGATCCTGAGCTGTTGGTACCATGCCAGTCTTAGTTACTCGATAGACATGTGACAAATACAGGAAGGAGTGAATGAGTAAATGAATGGGAGGCTGCATTTTTGAATAAAAGGTAAACTCTGGCTACTAGACCCCAAATCCACCTTTGTGAGCAGCCATGTGCCTGGCATCTGAACCCTCTGCCTATGAGTGAGTGCGTAGGATGATGGGTGGGCCTGGGTGAGAGCGGGGTCCGGCTCTGCCCCAGGACACTGGATAATTGTCCTGCCATCTCCCTGGCCCTGGCTGGCCAGGCTTCCCAGGGAAGTGGTGTGTCCCCACTGCTCGGCGCTGGGTAACTTTCCGATAGTTTGAGCTCATTACTCATCATTAGGAGTCCTGGTGTCTGGAGTTTTCCAGGTGATCAAAGCTTCTCTGTCTGGAGCAGCCAGGCAGGCCCTGGTGTCTGTCACCAGTAATCCCCTGGCCTTGCCAGGCAGACAGTTAAGTAACCCAGGAAGGAGAGGATTTGGTTTTTAAGCTCACATAATTCAGCTTGACACCCCAACAAGCGGGCAGGGGCTCTGGCTGTGCTCTGAGGAAGTTGTCCCTGTTGGGGTGGGGGCGGGGGTGGGAGCAGAGAGAGCAGCATCTTGTCTGATCACAGGGTTACTTTAGAACCGGCAGTGCCCCTCCCTTCCCTGCTCTCCTAGAGGGGCTGCCAGCTGGAAAGAGGATCACTCCACACTGGGTGACCAGCTCCCCTTCTGCAATGCTGTCTATTCTTCCCAGAGAATGACTTCTAAGCAGCACCTCTGTCCCTTGTTCCCCTGGAACAGATACTCCCTCAGGGCTCTCCTTGGACCCTGGTTTCCGGCTGGGCTCAGGGTCTAGTTGGTCTCCCCAAGCCCCTCAGCATTCCCCGTAATCTATGTCAGCACTGAGAACGTGCAACAGGTCCGACCACAGCCAGGATATATGTGCCCGTTCTGACATTTCAGTAAAAATCAGCTTCTTCCACGAAGCTGGGGTGGGGTTGTGGGGGTGGGGGGTGCACTGCTTACAACAACACAGCTCTCAATTTGAAGAAAACAAGGTTGGTATGGAAACTCTGCAACTGTATAATTTTTTTCTGATTTGGCTTTAGTGCAAAGTTGTGCTCGCTCTAAATAGCACACAGCACCTACCGCTTCCTCCAGCAGAGAAGGCCGTCTGAATGAGGGGTAAACTCAGTGCTCATGAGTTTGGGGAGTGGACATGGCTTTGCTGAAGAGTCTATATAAATGTCTAGTGCGTTGTGTAAGAAGCTGGGTGCTAAGAGTGAGGACGGCATATTCTAATCCCAGGACTAGCAGCTGGGGTGATGCTGGGCCTTTCCCGACCTGTCCTTGGGGTCACCGTGCCAGCCAGTGGCCTCTGTATGGCTCTGATTTTTCGCCACGTTCAGCCCCAGCCGAGTCCTGTGCCTGATGGAGCGGGCGAGTGGTGCAAGTCAGCGGTCACCATGCCCCAGCCTGCTTTGGAGGCCCTCCTGGTGCGGTCCTAGGCTTCCCGGGCTGCAGAGGGGCCAGCTCCCCGGGCTGGGCCGGCCCACGCTTCTCTGTCCAAGCACCGCTCCCGTGTCTCCAGATCCACTCCCACCAGGATGTTTTACATATTTTAATTAAAGTGCCGCCCTGGGCTGGCAGGGCCTCTGATAGATGGCTCTCATCCGAGTGCAGGGTTGCAGTGGTGTGAAACATGGCATCCGACGACGAGCTCCTGCTCTTGGAAAATGCTTTGGCTCCCACCCCTGGAGGCGGGTCCACCCGGTTCCGGAAGGGGAGGTGAACCTGGCAGGCGGTGGGCAGGTGGCAGGTGCAGCCAGGGGTGGCCCACGCGGGGCTCAGGGGTGGGAGAAGACTTCACATAGGAGCGCGCCATGGACAGTTTCTGAGGACCAGCTGGCTAGTGGGCTGTGGATGAGCCCGATTCTTGCAGACACACAGCCCCGTGGACACTCCTTATCAGTGTCAAATTATGACAAATGGCAGTGGGTAAAAGTTGCTGGGTGGCAGCTGCCGCATCGCAGAGGGAAGCAGGTATTTTTAGCACGGTGCCTTGGGGCTCTGGCTCCGGGTTAATTAATCATGGTGAACAGTGCCGACTTTGATTCTTGATGCTGGTCAACACCCCATCCCAGTGGTGCCCCCATTCCCCAGACTGGAATACCAGCTGCAGAAGTAGAAGCCATGCACAGTTAAGAGTAGCCCTGAAAAGTCTTCCTTCCCTCCATAATTCTGAGTCATGGGGAAGCTGTGAACAGCTGAACTGGACTAGGGACAGAGCAACTTCCTGACAGTGGCCCCCCAGAAGTGTCTTACAGGAGATGTTAGAACGCTTTTCTCCTGATAGCTTGAAGTAGACAAATTGATTTACTGTCTTACTTTCCTAGGATATGTAGAAGGACATTTATGAGGAAGGCTTCTAGAACATTCAGAGTGTGTGCCCATGCCGATGCCCCAAGTCTCGGGTCTTCTGCTGACATGGCTCTCCTTTGCCCTCAATCTCTTCTGAGAAAGAAGACTGCAGAAAGACTGTTCTCCCTAGCTGGTTCTGAAACCTCATTAAAAACACCAGAGAAATTGAAAAATTATAAATCTGTTTTAACTTTTCCTGCTTTTCTTTCATAACTCTGGTTAAGACTTCCACCATTCTCTGTGAGAGATAGACATAGGGGGCACAGGGAGGGAGTAGAGAGAAAAGACAAAGAGGCAGAAACAGAAAAAAAAACAGAGAATGATAGAAACCAGAAGACAGAAAACATTCTTCTTTGTGCTGATTCAAGAAATATTGAGAACCTACTATGTGCCTGACCAGCACATCCCCTAGTTATTACTCCACAAGACCATATGCTGTTTATATCTTCTCCCATTCCCATCAGCATCGTAGGCGGGGGAGTGAAGAGGGTGCTGTTTCCATTCAGACCAATAGGTGTCAGCCTGTCAGAGGGAAAGCTAGGGGCGCCCAAGAATTTGATAGCCACCTACAAAAATAAATTCTACTTCGTCTAGTTATCAAGTGCATTATTTGCAGGTTATCAGATGGACACTGAGGGTACATATGATGACAAATGCACAGACCCTGTCCTCATGGGATTTACTGCGCCACTGGGGACCTGGAAGGACAAGATCCTAGGTCACAGAAAGAGGGAGAAGGCGCCAAGTGCCTTGGGGGACACTTAAAGGGACAGTGTGGTCTTAGAACACCAGAGACCTCAGAGAAGCCAACTCTCACCTTCTTTCCTTATAGCAGAGCGAATAAGCTCAGAGAGGGGAAGTGACTGATCTGAGGTCACACAGCATTTTCAGATTCCAGATCTCCTGGCTCCTGGTGCCTTTTCTCCTGGGATGAACAGTGTTCTTCCCACCAAACATTGTCTCAATAATTGGAGTTGCTGTCCCCATCTTGAGATTCAAAATTCCACTTTAGTTTAGCCATGAATCTCCCTGAAAAACGCCCTCTTTGCGCTGACTGCAAGGCACTCTGAATAGGTCAATCTGTATCTCAAGAAAGGCAGCTGTCCACAATATGGTAGTATTTACACCATGGAAATCAGCAACAGGTATAAATCAGAGCTGCAGTGTCTGTGCACCATTGACTTAGAATCCCTGCTTTATAGATGAAGAAACTGAGGCTCAGGGAGCTCAGATATTGTGACAAAGAGATACAGTTTGTAAGTGGGCAACTAAGACCCCAACCCAGTCATTGGACACTAGAGTGCTCATAGCTGGTAGAGCCAGTAGGACTCAAACCCATTGGATGTGGAGGGCTTGAGGTGGAGACAAGGCATCTTGTGCAGGCACTGGCATGGTTGCTGCCCCCACGTGTGGACGAAGGCTTGTTATTCATCTGATGGCAACATTGAAACAGGAGCCAGCTTGGGTAAAATAATAACCAGTTCAACTTTGGATGGGTTGAATTTGAGGCACATGGTTGGAAAGACATTTAGATTTGGAGACCAGGAAAGAAGTCTGGGCAAGAGATTGAGATCTGCAAGACAGAGTCTCATTCTTAACCAACTATAGGTGAGCTAGGTACTCTTCCCCTTGTTATGGTGATCAGTTGAAAAGTACAATATCCATCCTGTTTTTTCTCATTTGGTTGAAGTTTAGGCCTGATCCTGGAGGGCAAGGAACGGGCACCAAGCACTCTTGCTGACACTTGTTGCCTGATGCATAGTTGAGTACCAACTAAGTACTTACTGAGTTAGCGAATGAGTGAACCCAGCATATACTGAAGCAGCCACTGCTATGGGCCACAAATCAAAACCTAAATTCATTTCTCAAAGTTCCCAGAATTATCTAGAATTCTGACATCATTATAAGTATGGATTTGGAATCAGAAAAAAACCCTTTTAACATTTGAGAGCTGGAAGTGGGATTTGGCAGTATTTTTTTTTATAATGTCCTAGTTTCACAGGGGTGGCACCAAAGCCCATAGACTCTTCTGAGACCATCTAGACCCCTTGCAAGTGTGACAGACCCCCAGACTTGGCCAAGCGAGATCCTGGACTCACTTGCTTTGCTCTGGCCCCTTTACTTCCCTGTTCTGGGGCTCAGTTTGTTCCTCAGATTAAAGAAGAGATTGAGCTCTGGTTCTGGAAAGGTGATGACTTAATCAGAATCCACATCTCGGGAGGAGGAGCTTGGGTAGGTGAGCAGATTGGTGCTGGGTAACCAAACAAGGGGGCTACAATATGCAAATGAATGGATTGTGGCTTTCTTTCTGGTTGGCTGCAGGGGACTTGATGTCACAATGGGCAGGCTGTCTGTGCTCCTAAAGACTGTGTTTGTAGAACCCCACCCCCCCAAAAAAAAAAATCCACTGACCTGGCCAATCTCTTAACTCCTTCTCTTTGCAGGATGGAACCACTCTATCAAGCTGGGTCTATTCTCATGAAGGTGAATACCTTACAGGGGAAGAAGATGGTGGAGAGTGGCCTCCACTCTGGAGACTTTTCCCTCCCCCCATCATGGCCCTCCTGCCTCCCACCACCTGCTGACTTGGAGATCTTGCAGCAGAAGGTAGCTGGTGTGCAGCAGGAGCTGGAGGACTTTAAGAATGAGGCACTGAAGGCCATCCGCTATTTGGAAGACGCTTTCTGCGAGATGAATGGGATCCTGGCACAGCAGGAGGAGCAGGCGGCCCGCGTGAAGCAGCGACTCAGGGAGGAGGAGGACAGGGGCATTGTTCGAAATAAGGTCCTCACCTTCCTGCTGCCCCGGGAGAAGCAGCTCCGGGAGCACTGCAAGCGGCTGGAGTGCATGCTGCTGTGCCGGGGCCGCGACACACCCTGCACCCCCAGGAAGGTCCAGGAGCACTGAGGGCTCCTCTAGCAGAAGTTGAGTCTCTAGCTGCGCAGTCAAGTAGGAGACTTTCTATTTTCCAATGGAAGGACAAATCCTTAGCCCCATCTGCTTCTCCCCCCTTTACCCATTTCCATCACTTTCCTTCTACCTAAATAACACCTTGCTGAGGCGAAAAGACGCTGTATGTTCTTTTGGTGAAGCTCCATTTATCCAGCATCATCAAAGAAGGAAGCTCCTTTATACTCAGTCTTTCAGACACTTGTAACGCTCACCTTTTCCTGCTTGTAATGGTAATATTGCTCCAGTGTACAGCATCTTTGGTTTTCTGTATACTTAAACCGTGTTGAACAGATTTACCTTTCTTTTAATGACTTAAGGCGTTCATGATTGTTCCTTAATGCAGAATCAGCGCTCATGGGCTCAAGGGCCCTGGAGGAGTGGACTTCTGCAGGTCTCACCCTGGCTTCGTTGGCTTCTCTGCTTGCACTGTCAGAGGGTCGACCTCACTTTTCTTTTCTGCCTTTGCCCACCTTCCTTCCTCTCGATGGACTCTGCAGACTGTCAATTAGAGCGAAGAGCTTATCCAGGCTCTGGTGGGTGGAGTCTGTGAGCTCAGTGCTGATGGTGACACCTTCAATGTGGGGCTACAAAGTAGTGAAACTGACTTTCCTGTTTGATGGAGCAGTGACTGTGATGGGCCCTGGCCATTCATCAGGCATGCGCATACACCAGCCCACTCACGTCCCCAGGCACCCTGTGGAAGCAAGGGTTGTTTTCCCATGGAGCACAGGGGGCAGCTGATCTCAGGAAATCCGTCTGTCCTAAAAGTTTCTGTGCTAGAAAGTGGCAGAATCTTGGTTGAAGTTGGGTCACCTGTGTCCCTCTGGAATCACCTCAGGCTATTCATGAACCTGTGCTTCTGGGAGGCTGAGAGGTCACCCAGGTGACTTTGAGGTTCCTTAGCTGTCATTAGTCATATGAATTCTTCATCCATTCATACAACTTCTCTCTTGCCTCCCCAAACACTGCCATGCAGAAGGGATTCTCCACTAAAAGGCAAAAGTGAAGTACCTGGAGGCCAGAGTCAGCACCTGAGCCCTTCTATTCCCTCAGCCCAGACTTTCAGTCTATGCCATACCCTCTAATGTTCTAGATCAAGCCTGCCCTCTCTCTGTTGCAGGATCTATCCACATAGGATTTTCACTGAAACCATATGAGGCTATGGGTGTACTAGTGACAAAGGATGGATGTGCATGGGGGCAGATGTCAGCCCTATGTAAGAAATACAACATGGGTGCTTCTTATGTGCAGTAAAGGGGGCAACTCAGCAGGCCTGGGATGTTCAGATCTTGTACATTTCAAAGAAAGGTCTGGCCCTTGACTGCCTCCTGGGAGATAACCTCCAAGCTCTTGCAATATGCTGCCTGATAACAAGTGTGTTTGTTTACCTGGGGCCTTGGGCCACGCCAGTTAGTTCACAATCTCTGTGTGATTTATGCAGAGACCCTGGGTGAGACCATATCAGTTTGGCTTCTGGAGGGGCTAGAGATTGAGTATGGTCAGCCATGGAACTAGGTACCTCATGCCTAGTGATAAACCACCAAGATTCTCCCTGTTTGACAATCTTTTGTATATATCGCCACTGCTGGGAAAATTAAGCATTGTCTATACATTTCCAGGCTAAACAATTCCTGGCTGACTGAAAGCTCCAGGCCATGAAAGCTCATGCCTGGTTTTCATTATATTCCTTTGCATAGATCTTAATCTGTATTCTTTAGCAATAAAAAACTGTCATCATCTGTATGACAGTTATTCTTAGTCTGTGAGTAGTTCTAGTGAATCATTGAACTGGAGGACCCGTGACACAGTGTCAGGTACACTTGACATTTCCTTAGTGTCCTCACAATAACCTAAGGGCTGGCACCACTGTCCAGAAGAAGTTGGGGCATAGAGATGACGCATGACCGTGTGCTGCTAATCTTCTTCTCTTGACCACCACCCACACCAAAGGAAGGAACTTGGGGTGATGGATTGGGCTCCCTTTGCTGGAACGTCCTGTGGGGGTGGCCCCATGGCCCTCCTACCCCAAGGATGATGTTGAGGAAGTGCTGGAGGAGGAAACTTGTGAATTTCCTGACTTGGAGAGTTTGGGCACCCACGATGCTCATCTGTCAGATTGGGCTGGGCAGGTGTCTTACCTGCACAGAAGGTGAAAATCTAAGTGTCCTCTCATGACTTTCTCTGCTGCAGGACTTCAAGTTGCATCTTCTCATCCGTCTAGAGTGCTCAGTTGCAAACCATAGGATATCCATTATGCTGACTTCTTAAAGAGGAGTCTAGTTTTTTTCACATCAGACATCTGAAGTAGAGCGTTCGTTCAGTAACTCTGCAATGACAGGGTTTGGGTTGGCTCCTCTGTAATCCTCTTTCCTCCCTTCCTTGCTGTGTGCCTGCCCCTGACCTTTCATGCTCACACAATTATGGCTGAGAATTCCAAAATTTTCTTATCACTTCATGACTTCAAAGCCAGGGAGAAGTGGCAGAAGTTTCCTTGCAAGCCTCCTTTTATCAGAGAGGAAAACCTTTTCCAGAATTCCCCCAGAAGATTTGCTTTGACATCTCTTTGGTCGGGCCTGGTCAGCTGCCTACCCTAAATCAGAAGTGAAGAGGAAAGCAGCTGCCACCGCTCAGTGCCTAGGGCTGGCCATCTCAGTTCTGCATGCCCTGAGGCTGGGTAACTGATTGGTAAATCAAACTTCCTTTAGTGAGGGTGGCCTTGGGAGGTAACTAACCACAGCAGCTATACCCAAGCCTTACCTTTTCTAGCTAATTGATACTGAAGAGAGCTCTGGGGGATGGCATGTCTGGGCAGGGTTGGATAGTGCAGGTGGCTGTCACATAGCTATAGACCTGGGAACTGGGAGATGGGCTGGGTGGAGATGTGGAGTGACACTTTAGTGCTATGGGTGCAATTCCACTGCTTTCACTTGCCCCACCCTCCCCTGTCCTATACACGGTCTTCACCCTTGAACTCTGAGACCTAAGATGATCCAGAGGATGCCAGGGAGACTTTCAACCCCTCAGTTCTTCAAATCAGTGATTTCTCTTGGAGAATCAACCCACAGGTTTTGGTCATCACTACTTGGGGTGGCCAACTAGTTCTGGTTTGACTGGGACTGTTCCTGTTTCAAAACAACACACCTGGAGCCCTCTTAGTCCTGGGAAAACTGGGGTGTTTGGTCACCTTGCATTAGATACAAACTTCCTTGGGATGATCCCGATGAGGCTGTGGGTGCAGTGAGTCACAGGAGGTCAGGGCAGGAAACGAAACTGGTGGCCTTCTCTGCCAGGTCTTGCTTTCATTTCCTACCAGAGGCCACCTGGCCTGCCTGTTCTGTGGCAGGAGGGGCTTCCCCTGGAGTTGATTTCTCCTCATCAGGTCCTGGCCTGTAGCCTCACATTGGGAAGGAGATATGAGAGGTAGGCCTTTTCTGAGCAACTTTTGAGATCCTCGTGTAGCTGTTTGGGATTCCTGGCCAGGCCACACCTCACAGCTGCGACTGGAGTCCTGTAAGAGAGTGGACTCCATGGTAGATCAAAGGCCCAGCATCTAGAGCAATGCCAAGAAGAGAAGCTTCATGTAGCTTTGGAAGACAGAGTTCCTTTTTCCCAATGCTTCTCCTCCTGACTGAGAATAATTAACGTGAGCAGCCCAACTGCTTATTTTCTTTGAAATTCTATAACAAATAGAAGATAAAATAACAGTTTTCTCCCCATCAATGGCCATAGTTCTCAGAGGTTCTCCCTAAGCCGTCATGCTCCGCTTGCTTCTCCAGAGGACTCCCCTCAGGCCGAAGGTTGCTGAGACCTTAGGGAAGCCCGTAGTGCCCAAGCGAGGCCATCTGAGACCCCCCAAGCCCTGTGTCTGCTGCAAGCTGGGATGCTTTGGGGTGAAGCAGATGCCTGAGGTGCAGGAGAGCTGAATACACAGTGTGCACATGGGGAGGCCATGGCCCCCCAGTGTCACAACTTCAAAGTTATCTTTACTACTAACTAGATGTGCAGGGCCAGGAAGGAGAGCTCTGGGGGACGAGTGGCTGGACAGCGTTGGTGGCATGTGTGGGAAGCAAGGGTTGGGGCCTGGGAATTGGCTTCATTCCATACAGAACTTTGCCTCCCAGTCTGATCCAATCCACTAGTAATTCTTGAAGTGTTAAGAGCAGCAAGCCCTAGAGCTCTTTCCTGACATCCACCAGGTGTGGGTCTAGACTGACTTTCCCTGGAAAACCAGCTTGGCAGTCTCTTGGCATCTGGAACATAGAGTTACCATGTGACCCAGCATGCCACTCCTAGGTCTAGACCCAGGAGAATGAAAACACACGTCGATACACAGCTTGTGCAGGAGTGCTCACGGCATTACTCCTAGCAGCCTGGTCCAGCAGCTGATGAATGGGGAAGGTGTGATGGGTCCATACCCATCACAAATGCTATTTGCCAACACAAATGAAATGCTAACACTTGATAAAATATGATGCCAAACGAAAGAAGCCAGTCACAAAAGGTCACATGTTGTCTGATACCATTTGTGTGCGATGTCCCATGGAACAGGCTCATCTGTGGAGACAGAAAGTGGATGGATGGTAGCGGGCAGGGGAGCTGGAGTAAGGAGGCGGACTGCAGATGGGTAGGAAGCTTCTTTTTTGAAATGACGAAGGGTTTGAAAATTATCATGCGCTTTAAATAGGTGAATTGTATGGTGTGTGAATTATAGCTCACTAAAGCTATTTAAAAAAATAAAGTGTAAGTTCATATCCACAGTGCAAAAAAAAAAGTGATGCTATAATCTGTAACTCAAATCCCTTTAACATTGAAAGATAAAGATCAAAATAAATTATTTCAAATTGCTTTTAGTTCATGAACATTCTGGAGCCACATGGGCTCCAGAATTTAGATTATATATGTGTAAAGCGCCTAAATCAGAGAACTGCCCAGGAGTGTCATAAATGATAATTGACTCAAAACTGCAAGTAAAGCACAAAATGTGCTCGGGGACCTTGAGTGACCTCAAGTGACCGCCACCATCCCCAGAAGTCTCGGAGCTTGCTAGCTCATAAGACATTCTTTTGAGCTCAATGGTGCTTGAGCCCCCTCTCCAGGAGCATAGGAGGCGGGAGGGCCTCAGGGAAAACAGGGCCCAAGCCTCCCTCCCGGCTGGGAAGACATCTCCGCTGGGGTCAAGGGCAGCGTCAGGACCATGTTGCCCAAGGTGCCGTGGCCAGCAGCCGTGTGGTTGGTGAAGCCGTCTGGTCTCTGACGTGCCTCCGGAAGACTTCACTCCGATGAGATCTCTTTTTCGACCTCTCGT